ATTTTATTCCTTTCTATCTCCACTATCCTAGATCATACAAACTTCTAACAAATTCCTCTATATAGTCTAAGAGATGTTCTTTCATCTGCGACGTATAACCTGACCTTCAAAATGCCATCTTCGTACTCAAAATTCAAATCTGAAACCGACTCCGTCAACAATCTCTCAAATTCTTGAAAAATGGACCCCTAAAAATCTAAAAATTGCAATAACTTTCTTTAACCAATTCTGTTCCATCTCATCTTCTCGCAGTATCTTTATTTTATTATTGCACATAGCCATGCCAAATTTTACGCTCCAATGGCTATGCAAAACATAAATAGCGCCCTCTAAAGTTCTGGGAATTGGCTTTATTTCTGTGGCCGTATCTCCATTATGGCTTGGCAGACCCGTACCCTTTTTTGGATTTAGATACTTGAAGATATGCCCTTTCCAGCCATATACAAATTATATACCCTATCACTGACCAAATTTGAGAAAATTGCCCTCCAAATTCGCCTTTTTCAAGAAAATTCCGAAATAACTTCAACTTGCTCTTAAATGGCGATCTTTATACCTACATCAATGAAACTTGGCAGACATATGTATCCATATACGTGACAACTGTCTGCAAAGTTTGGTAAAATTCGAATATGTCAGCGCAAAGTTATCGCCAAAAATGATGAATTTACTATGGATTACGTAATAGCGCGTTCAATGCGCGCAGTTAACAATGGTGTCAAACTGACCGCAATGAAGTGCCCTTTCGAATGATACCAAGTATAATATATGTTCACACAGAAAATTGTGAGTAAATCGCAATTGAACAAAGATCACTACACGAATTCCGCCGAGTTTCCGCCCGAACCTAACACGTTTCGGCTATGACGTCATTTTTTCAGACTGCTTTTCGCCCCTTAAACGTCCTTTTTTTTCCTTGAAAATTGGCAGTGACATGCCGAGTTCCAATACGCAGGGCACCTCATGGCCGGATTTTTGAAATTGGTCAAGGGGGCCATTTAAGACGCCATTTTGTCCTATAAGTCTATTTTACATCACGTGTTTCGATAGGATTATCATAGAAAAAAAGGGAGTGGTTTACAATAACAACCATGAATTTCTCTTTCTAATGATACCAAATACGGCCCATAAAGAGACGTAAAGAGAGAGAGAAAAAACAATTTAACTCCGGTCATAATACAGATCCTGCACGTTTTCCGCCCATTCATTACACGCATTGTCTATGGGGCATATCGGGTTCACGCATTTGGCCCCCAGAACGAACTTGATTGCAATGTCAAACATGCACCAAATCCCATTGGTTTGTGCACGCAGTGCTTGCGAGCCCTTTCTAGGTTCTTTCCCCTATCCCAATTTCTTTCAAACTTCGTAGGCATAGTACCATCCCATCAAGGTCACTGTTGATGCCTTTCTTTCGCCCTACCTATCTCCAATATCACAGAAGCTACAGACTTCGTGCAAATTGCTCTGGATAGTCCGAGAGAAGCTCTTTCGTTTGACACGTAGAAACACGGCGTCATTGCACGCACATCGTTCTGACACGATTGCATTTCTAGTTATAATTGTTATCATATCATTATTATCATCTGTATTATCAGCATAATCTACAATGGCAGTAGTATAGTATAGTCATGTAGAAGTAGGCTTAGTAGTAGAGGTATCATTCTGATCCTTATTATCCTGATTATGTTTTGCAATACGTCTATATAGACGATAAACTCACGACAATTGACAATTGTCATGAATCATTGTCTTTAAGCTTACCATTAAATGCATCTGGTTCGAATTTTGCTTAGGTATTTGGTACGTGATGATTTAAATGGTAGAAATGAACTTGTGTCCTATTCGTTCTAGTCTTATTCATTTGCATTATGTTTTAATCATTCAAGTTCTAATGTTTCTGACTCTTTTCAAGACAATATCTTTTTTGTCGATCATAGTTCTATGTAGCTTGATATCTCACGGTAATTTTGAGAGAAAAGCAATGCAAGCAATGATTTCTAAATTGTAGCGACAATCGCGTTCGCCTTTGCTGTTCTTCAATAATATTTGACAAGCAGTATTAATTAATTTTTCAAGGACTCATGATAAATTCGTTTAACAGCTGATTACCCTCGGTTGATTCTTTTGTTCGGATTATTTGGCGGGGAAAATAGAAGTGAATGTATTATTATTCTTATTTGTTCATCGTCTCTACGATGCTCTTTGAATCAAAAACAGCTTTTAGTGTTAGGCTTCCTGAAAGAAATTTCAATTGTTGTTAAGAAATTTTTGGTTGCACTCTGTAGATTATGATGATGTGTTTGATCTTTTTTTCAATACAAGATCAAACACATGATGAAAATCTACTGGCTGCATGCCAATAAGTTCTTGACAACAATAACAAAATGTGAGCTAGTGCTATTCGGTGTGGCGTACACAGGGCAGATAAAATTATGGTCCTCAGTACTGGGTCAAATAAATTAAAGAGAACTGAATTTGAACCCGGGCCATAGGCTACCCCCTCTCGTTCTCTCTCCCTCTCTCTCCCTCTTCGTCGCCTTACTTTTCCCTCTCTTACCTCCCTGTGCATTTGTATGCCTCGATAATACAGAAAATAAACAATAAGATTCTTCCTCTTCCCCTCCTTCTTCCTAGTACATGTAGTAGGAGTAGTACTAGAAGCAGTATCACAATAATAATGACAAAAATTATTATTATGGTTGGTGGTGTTACTAATGTTATTTTTGTAAATATTATGTTTGTTATTGTGATTATTATCCTTATCATGATTATTATCGTTAATATAAATTATTATTGTAATTATTATAATCATTATTATTGTTATCATTAGGATGAATATGAACATGATGATTTTGATGATGATTAGTATAAGTATATAGTATTATTATAATTGTTATCATATCATTATTATCATCTGTATTATCAGCATAATCTACAATGGCAGTAGTGTAGTATAGTTCATGTAGAAGTAGGCCTAATAGTAGAGGTATCATTCTGATCATTATTATTCTGATTATCTTTTGCAATACGTCTAGACGATAAAATCATGACAATTGATAATTGTCATGAAACATTGTCTTTAAGCTTACCATTAAATGCATCTGGTTCGAATTTTGCTTAGGTATTTGGTACTGGATGATTTAAATGGTAAAAATGAACTTGGTAAAAATGGCACCGTACATATAACTTAAAGGCAATTTCTATTTCAAAATAATTTAACGTACACGAAAACATATTATACTTCAACAGAAATAAATAAATAACGTGAAGGAAACCTTAATTATGGATCACGGCATGGATGAGGGCCCATTATACATACAAAGACAAATACATGATCAGCTGATGAAAAAGGTACAGAGGATGCATAAAGGAAATCTTACATCCTAATTTCTTTGTTGTGCCATTGATGGTGAGAGAGGCTGTAACGCGTACTCATCTGCGCGCAATGTATTGTTTAATTTCTAAGAAATGTAATTTCTGTTCTTTACTCGGTAGCAAAACTACAGGGGAATTGGGCAACCTCTACCCCCCCCCCATATCGAACTGAATAATTTGAAAAGACTGAAATAAACTTCATAAATAACAAAGAAAATGAAGGTTTATGCAATTTTCTGTAAATAGCAATTTGGAGAGAAGCTTGCGTTATACGTCACAGTCTTATAAATTCCTCGGGGATGATTGTCATTGGAGGGTAGTTGTCCTCCAGGGGTTATTGTCCTCGGGGGGGGGGGGGGGGGTTGTGGTCGAAGGGGGAGGAGTAGTTGTCCTCGGGGTTAGTTGTCCTCGAGGGTAATAATGATAATAATAATAACGTTTTATTTACCCAGGGTAGCCACTTCAGTTATGAAAATGCTCTTCCATCGGGCCCTGCATAACATAACATAATTAGTACTACCCTTCTCCAAACTTATATGCTGAGCGTCTAGCTAGAAGGCAGAAGGTCCAATTGTTATCAGTCTTTGGTATGACTCGGCCGGGGTTCGAACCCACGACCTTCCGTACATGAGACGGGCGATCTAACCACTGAGCCACCAGGCCAAGTAGTGTCCATGTGGGGTAATTTTCCTCGGGGGGTAGTTGTCCTCGGGAGGTAATTGTCCTCGGGGGTAGTTGTCCTCGGGGGGTAGTTGTCCTCGGGGGTAGTTGTCCTCGAGGGTTAATTGTCCCCGGGGGTAGTTGTCCTCGGGGGGTAATTCTCCGGGGGGTAATTTTCCGGGGGTAATTGTCCTTGGGGGGTAATTGTCCTCGGGGGGTTATTCTCCGGGGGGTAATCGTCCTACGGGGGTAGTTTTCCGGGGGTAATTTTCCGAGGGGTGATTGCCCAGGGGGTAATTGTCCTGATACGAAAAGTCAATTATAGTCACATCCCTGGGATACCACATACAAAACAAACATGACTTGAAGTCAAGTAGGTGACCTCAAAGGCAACTCTGGGTGAACACTGTTATGTTCATTATATTTTAGGGTTAATATAGATTTTTGGCTTGCCCCATGAACTTGGACAACAATTACCCCCCCCCCCCCCCCCCCCCACACACACACAAACTTCTACAAATGCATCAAATGGAAGCTACAACCTGAGTTACCAATGCTACCTAAATGTGACTTGAAGTTAACTACTTGACCTCACAAGCAAACAACGGTGAACAATGAAATGATAAAGTCAACTTCCTGACCACAATTAAAAGCAACGGCATGGGTGGAAAGCGTATCCCACTTTTTTCTGTTATTTTCATTTTATTTGTTGGTTGAACTTAACTTTGACCGTTAACATGCTGGCTTGCTGTAATCGATACTTGACCTTTAACTCTATGAAAAATATCCGTGCCTGTCTAAAATGCATTAACAATCGGAATTAGACTCATCATTCTAGTCCAATAGAAGCCAATACCTGAGCTGTGTAGTAAATATATTAATATATATATATATATATATATATATGTATATATATATATATCTAATTAAACATGTATGAACTTAATAATACCGTTACGTACCTTTCCTTTTCTAAGCCGTAAAACCAAAACTTGTATTGTGTACAGGTATCAAGCACCTTGGTCATACAGTTTATCAATACAAATATCAGGAAATTCTAACCACACGCATAAGAATCATTTGGCAGAAGACACAAGTTTAAGGGGACCTTTTCCGTCTGTTCAGAAGTGGTTAATGTGGTAGCAGTAACAATATATTTGAACTATATATCAAACGTGCAGGCACGCACGTAAACTATATTCATATGTTTGTTTACCCGACACAAACATGACATATCAAATTTGTCTTATCTTGAGTTTTGTTTTATTGAGATAAAACCCATATCACGTGAGATGCAAGGGGTGATAGGGCAATAAATCGAGCCGTTTGGTTTATATTACCTCCCATGCTATCATCCTCGACCTTCTTTCCTTTGCTTTCAAGCAAGAGTTCTCTTGATAGGAAATTTATGAAATAAATTAGGTAATTAGGGGTAGTTTTCCGCGGTAGTTTTTCGGGGGGGGGGATGACTTTCCAGGGGGTAATTTATGAACGAACAAGGATTGTATTATATATTATTTACTGTTAAAAACCCAGACAAACCTTGCACTCTCAAAAATGCTATAATCAACAAATCAAAATTCTATCATGTAAGCCCTTTTAGGCCTATATGCAGGTGTTTGTCCCTGGGAAATGGATTAGTGCTTATCATAATTGCCCTCTCTTATATTGTCATCATATACACACACTATAAACCTTTACAAAACATAAAAGTCGAAAAACAAAACAAATCTTAAAGAGAAAAATTAGGGGTCCACCTGGTCTGCCCTATACATGCTTTTAATAGCGTTTTCAAAATATACATACATATATATATTACTAGGCCTAGGTGTCCACGAACTAAATATTAACATAACACTTTAAATACCTAATCAAAGTGTTTATTTCTAATAGAAATATTCTTCAAGGTTTTTGTACAATTTGGAGTAGGCCTACACATACATAAACGCGTGGAACTATTCGCCAGAGGTTTAATCAAGCATTCAAAATTTTCAAGGCTTTTCGAAACTATTAACCCTATTTTTAATGAGATCAGTAAAACGTACAGTACAGAATATTCAAGCGAGACAATTAGCCCTTCAATTGGCCCACAATTACGATTTAATCACGAAAGTTGACCTTATTAAGCATTGTGATGGTCAGGGCAAGGGCAATGATCTGTTGTCATGACCGGGGGGGGGGGGGGGGGGGGGACGAATTGCAAGATTACCTACAATATTTTCTCGTACATTTTGAAGGATATTATGTGAGGGAGCGTAGCAACCGAGCAACACGATTTTTGCATTTCTTTTAGTCTAAACGCTGCACTCTTGGGCCCTCCATGCCTAAAAGTGTGTTGCAGTCCATGCTTGGTATTTGTTATACATTTGGGGCACTTTTTCAAATTTTCCGGAGTGGGGGTGAGGGAACGACCCCCTAAAAAAGTAACGGGATCGCCGCCCCTGATTGTGGCCGTATTATGCATTATCCATGAGTATCACAATTCGGTTCATATATGTTTTTATATTTTAGTAGTAGAATAGGCCTTCATGATTTGTTACGCTGAGTAGGGCCATCCCTCCGCCGTCCTTTGATTAGTGTGTCTTTATGATTGTAAATATATATTTGTTGTTGTTTTTTAATTGACGGAAAACGAATACACTACAAATAAATACAATACAATATATTCAGGGCTCCCGATCACCCGGCCCACAGGTTCCTCTCAATGATGTCATATTATTTAAAGTAACAGATACCTTTAGTATAACACACTTACAAACTCTTTAGCATGATAATATTTAAAGTTATTATAGGTTTCACATTTTTGAGATCGAGCGAAGCGCGGGAGCAAATAGGAAATGCACTTTATCATGGGGAACAATTGAAATTATAGTTAGCCAGCAATACAAGTTCATACAAAGTGACTACCTCACTGCCCTTAAAGGCCTACTAATAATTTCAAAACTTTCCCGGAAGGCTGCAGTATAGCATGCCCAGGAGGCCTATGCATACTCTCCCCTCCTCTCGTTCAAACCCTCTTTCATCTAGGCATAGGGATTATTCTCTTCTCTATCTCTGCTCTCACGTCTTATACCTCAGTCACACCGCCGAACCGACTTCAGGCCGACTCCAAACGGTTTTGTGTTTTGGGTCATTAGGGTAGGCCTATTGTAATCAATGATCAAATCAATGCATTTGCAAACAATGCCCCACTACCCTGGTTGAACGTATCCGCCCTTCTTCTATCCCTCAATCCGCCTATGAACATCACTCTCTCTACGTTCACAAGGCGTTCATGATAAATGTCATCCTCTAAACAGACATTTTGTTTACAGTTAAAATATTTATATTTACAATGATTAATAATTTTTTTTGCATGACTTCACTGTATTTGTCGATGACAGAAAGATAATGCTCAAAAGAAATGATTTATGCTCTGCTTTGTCATACCTAAACATACTTTGGATGTTGTTGTACAAAGTAGCATCGGACAAAATATTTGCTTCAATACCTCATTTCTAAGACTGCTTAGATGCAAAGTCAGATCAAAAATTCAATTTTATTGACGAAAATTCAAACACATGCCTAGGGGCATTTACACTGTCTTCCAAACACGCCAAAAAATGCCAAACCGGAGCCTGGCCGCGATGTTACCAAGGGCAACTACGCTTTACCGGCAGAAACGCCAAGCCCCAAACATTCCAAAACGAAGTGTGATCTTTTGGCGTGTTTTGGCGTGTTTGGCAAGTATAAACGCTCGCAGTTGTAACATCGCGATGTTAGGTAAAGTGACTTGAGGAGCGGGGCTAGCTAGATGTCGTCCTTTTGAAGACAATGATAGAACGATTAATACAAAGAATAACATAAGAGAAGGTGACAGAAGGAAGAAACTAAGAATAACATAAGGATAGACAGAAAGAGAAAGTGATAGAAGGAAGAAACAAAGAATAACATAAGGATAGACAGAAAGAGAAAGTAATAGAAGGAAGAAACAAAGAATAACATAAGGAAAGACAGGAAGAGAAAGTGATAGAAGGAAGAAATAAAGAATAACATAAGGAAAGACAGAAAGAGAAAGTGATAGAAGGAAGAAATAAAGAATAACATAAGGAAAGACAGAAAGAGAAAGTGATAGAAGGAAGAAACAAAGAATAACATAAGGAAAGACAGAAAGAGAAAGTGATAGAAGGACGAAATAAAGAATAACATAAGGAAAGACAGAAAGAGAAAGTGATAGAAGGAAGAAACAAAGAATAACATAAGGAAACACAGAAAGAGGGATTGATAGAATGATAAAAAAACAAAGAATAACATAAGAGAAGGTGATAGAAGGAAGAAACAAAGAATAACATAAGGAAACACAGAAAGAGGGAGTGATAGAATGATAAAAAACAAAGAATAACATAAGAGAAGGTGATAAAAGGAAGAAACAAAGAATAACATAAGAAAACACAGAAAGAGAAAGTGATAGAAGGAAGTGATAAAGAATAACATAAGAGAAGGTGATAGAAGGAAAAACAAAGAATAACAAGGAAAGATAGAAAGAGGAAAGTGTTTGCATCGGAGTGCCGCGCATGCGCATTACCAACTGAAACACGCCAAAACATCAATGAGCTTTTCAGTCGGTGATGTTTCCGCACAAGTGTAAACGGCTGCGCGAAACATCGCGACTTTTCAAAATGAGCGCCTGAGGGTCTAGAAAAGGTGGAAGTCCTTTTTTACATGAGGAAAAGGACTCTTCGTCCTGTCCTGACCTACCACGTAGCCCGGCCGTATCCAGAAATGCTTCTATTAACGTCAACCTCGAAGATGTAAAGAAACTACCACTCAGCATCAACACATCCAAAGCTATAGGCCCAGACCCGATGATGAAGATGGTGATGACTCGAGCCACTGAAGAAACTTGAGTATGTATACCAGTTATTCAACGCAATGTTTGAACTGTTTAATTTGATTTTTCATGTACATGTTTGATCCTTTGATCTTTGACTCTAAAATGTAATGCTTCATTGACTCTGCACGATTCGTACATGTCTTGAGTTTGGTAGTAATCCACCCCTCGGTTCTAATGATAACTGTTCACAAGCTATTTTTTGTATACATAATGAGCCCCGTGACCTTTTAACTTTGACCTCATGACCCCGAAATCTAATCAGTTCATTGGTTCAGCAAGATACATACATGTCTTGAGTTTGATGGTAATCCGTCTACCGGTTCTAATGATAGTGTAATCACAAACTTGTTTGCATACATAATGAGCCCTGTGACCTTTGACATGTAACCTTGTGATACCAAAATCTAATCATTTCATTGGCTCTGCAAGATACATACATGACCCAAGTTTGGCGGGAATCCATCAATTGGTTCTTGAGATAACGCGATTACGAGAACGGGACGTACGGACGGACGGACGGACAACCCGAAAACATAATGCCTCCTGCTACTTTGTAGCGGAGGCATAAAAATACTAAATGGAAGAAAAACTGAGAAGAGAATTAAGTATACGAAGGCATGTTCACTTACAAAGAGAAAGTTAACTCAATTGCATATTCCGAGCCCTCCTGTCTTCATTTCCAATAGTCAATTATACCTCCCAACCCTCACCTGATTTAGGATATGTCACAATCCAGATGTCATCTTCTCGCACTTGAAATGTTTTCATTAGGTCAATACTGGAATCCAGGACGATATTGGGATATTTTATACCTCTGTACTCGTGCTCAGATCTTATTTGCGGAGCGTATTCGTTCCTTGCCATCTACCGAATTAATATAATAACAACAATAATAATACAGTGTTGAACAACAGCTACAATAAAAAAAAACAGCAGAACGAATGATAACAACAGTAGGCCTACTACTACTACTACTACTACTAGTTATTATAATAATTATACTAATGATGATGATATAAATAATACTACTGTTATTACTACTAATAATAATGAAATCTACTATATTCCGCACCTATTCATTCCAGGGGTCGCTCAATTCACATACAAAATAATATCACATTGGCTTTAGCCGAGCTGCTTTAAATGCATTTAAGGAATAAACTCCTACACGGTACTGATATGACCCTATCATTCTGAGAATCGTTCTGAAGGATCTCTCTATCTCTCGTCGAAAGATCAAGGCTGTTAGTGTAAGCACCATCTCTTGTCTTTATATCAATGAATAGGTTGCTATATATTATTACTTTTGTTTGTTTGAACATTTTTAAGTTAGTGTATATTATATGGGTGGTCCTAAACCTTTGCAAATGACTCCACTTCACCATAAAATGATTGCCAAATTAAAATTAAGACACATATCTTACTTCGACTCAAAAGTTACTGATATTTAAAAAACAAACACCATCATTCAAGCTTACCTTTTGCATGGAAGAAAGGAATTAATAAGTGTAGAACTGAGCCGCGTCGGCTGGAGAATTGAAATTTCAAAATGACTATCACGTATACAGTCTTCAAACCAACATCTATTATGAGCTAAAGTGCTGAAGTGCGGGAAGAAGTTACCTCACAAGTCGAAAGAAATAAATATTACGTAATCGGCAGGCCAATGTTCACACCAACATACATCTATCATATTAATACGAAATAAAGTGCTGTCTATTTGTTTGCTAGAAATGTGCAAATAAAAGGATTGACCAAAAAAGGAGTGCAAAGTCATGCATATACGACCAATCCTAGACTTTGATCGAGTAATTTGGTTACTTGCCCTTTTGGCTTTTTGAGAGCAAGTTTAAGATCTCGGTCGCATAAGGTCCAATCGATAATTAATTATTTTCAAATCAATTCGAGCTGTTAGAGAGAGAGAGAGATTGGGAGTTAGAAAGAGATAGAGATAGAGAGAGAGAGAGAGAGAGAGAGAGAAAGATATATATATATATATATATTGCAGTTTCACTAAACTTGCTTATATATATATATATATATATATATATATAAGGGAGATAATAGAACGTGCTTCGGTCAATGCACAGGATGAATTATCGAAATGTTTAGTCTTAGCTTGTGTTTCAGTAAACATCGGGTTTGATCGTTTCAATTTTTGTCTTTGATTACATTAATTAGGGAAACATCTTTTATATTTATAAAACATTTATAGAACAGACCTTAACCTATTGATTCACTAAAAAGCTGAAGTTCAAGTAAAATATCAACAGAAACAGGGAAACTGTAACATATTTAACCGGAAGGGTAATTAGATACATCCTCTTTTCCATTAACTGTTACTTTCCTAAAGGAACGCGGTTAACAAAAATAAATCATAGCTACATAAAAAAAGATGTCAAAGTAACACCGGATAAATTAAATGGCAATCTGATCCATATAATAAGTTCATTTGGGTAAAAGCAGAAACTTCAAACAATCAGAGGAATAGAATGGCGAAAGTTTACAATAAATCTTACCAATAATAAGAAAGATATGAATGTTAGCAATTTAAAGGTTCTATGTCCCATTTGCAGCATATTCTGTAGAACTTTGCAGGAATTAGAAACATGTCACGTATATCCCAGCTGTTGAATTTAAACGTTAGCAGTGTCCTAATATTCAAATTATGCAAGGGAACCCGTTTAGTTTGTAGACTTCACTGTCAGACACTATTAAGTGCCTGACTGACTTCTTTTTTTCCTTGGTAATAAAATACAAACAAATGAGCTGTAAAGGGTACATGAGCATTTATCTACATCAATAACCCAATTCTTGTAATGGCCAAAATTAGACTTAATAAATCTTTGTGCAGCTCAAAGCGTACGACCATACGCTAAAAGGGTCTTAAAATCACACTATTACTTAAATGATTGCAATCACCTTGGTCGATTTAACAACTAATATTCGTTATTTCCCCAGCAAAAGCCATTTTAAGCCCTTTCGTTTTGAGGGAAGTTCCAAATTAGTTTTGTCTTTCAAATGCCGTTGGATTTTAAACTTTTAATTTGTGTGGCCTGCAAAAGGGACATAGTACCGTTGAAGCTTAATATATCTTTTCTACGCAGCACAAAACGTATGACAATTCGGTACAACGATACGTCTAAACAAAATCAAACTATATTACTTCAGTGATTGCTATCACTTAAGTCGAGTCTACGACTAATGGTCATACCTTTCATATTTTGGCCCGCAAATGGGTCATGGTACCTTTAAAGAGCCATAACCTATAATGACTGTAACTTTAAGCGGACACTTTTTTTTTTTTTTTTTTGGTCTCGAAATTTGAAAATTTGAAATTTTTTTACTTGGGGGGGGGGGGGTAAGGTCACTTTACGTTAGTCGTGGGCATAATTTTTTTTTTTTTTTTTTTTTTAAATTTAAAAAAAAAAAAACACACAAAAAACACAAAACACAAAGGGGGGGTTTTAGTTTTTTTAGGGGGTTTACACACATAAAAATACCAAAGGGGGGGGGGGGTTGAACCCCCAAACCCCCCCCCCTGTGTACGCCCCTGCTCACCACAACCAAAAATACCAAAGGGGGGGTTTGAACCCCCAACCCCCCCCCCCTGTGTACGCCCCTGCTCACCACAACCAACGAACATCCTAACCAACAAGGAGACGTAGCGCGAGTCACGGAGAGGACACTGGACTCTAGCTTTGTGGCTCAAATAGGCAAAACGGTAGTCTTCAAATTGAGTGATGTCATCTTCCAAATAACCACATTCCCTTTTCTTTTCTTTAAATCTGTATCTGTATATAGTCTTTCTTTCTACGTAGTTTATTATTAGTGGAACAGTTATAACATACACTTATACAAACAAATACTCACGGTAAGAGATTTTAAAGATTTAACCCTAGATCAATAAAATCTATTTTATTTCAAATTTCTAAGGGTACTCATAAGGTCGAAACGGAATCATGTCCTGAGTTATCTAACATCAATGCATTAAAATCCATTGCACATGAGGCGTCCTTTCCTGTCATCAACTGGTGTAAACTTAAACGAAGGATACGAGGGTGAGTTCACGCACTATATCATGCAAAATGTACAGTTCAAATAGTGCTGTATAGTACTATAGGCCTATACTACAGTAAAGACCTGTATAGTACCTGTAACTATGCAGTCGAAATGACGCTTCGTGTACAACTACTACGGGCATAAATTATGTTATCAAAAGCAGGGGCGTCAATCCTTTTTCAAATGTGGGAGGGACGTAGTACAAGAGTTTGTCTGAGGGGGGATTTGGGCCCCCTCAGAAGTTAAAAGAAAATTAAATTTTCAAACTCATTCGGCGCGATTTGCTGCATACTTTCTTAGTAATATTTTGGCTGAAAATCATTGACTAGATTCCAATGGATTTTTTTCCTGAAAGAGGAATATCTTATGTCACTATTACAAAGACTCGGATACATATTTGCTATAAAAGCTTTATTATTTTTTTATTATTATGTAAAATGATTCCATGGAGTATCTTGATAACAACAGTAAGGTTTTAAAACTTAGTTTCTTCGTGTACCTGTCTTGTTATTCATTATCACTAACATAACGTTTTGGTACACTGTTTTGGTATCCTGTAAGCTATTTGTTTCATCACTTGCGCCAAATATTAAGTGTCCGTCCATTGTGACACTGTGTAAGACAAAACAGAAAAAAGCAACTTGTAACTCATGGCTGTAATTTGTCCAAATGAAACTATATAGAATATTATAATAAAGTATAAATAAAATATATGTAACTTTGAGTAATATGTGACCATCTATAGATATTGAATATTAGGATAACTCTGAAAAATCCCACACTAATATACAAGGTAACATTCCTTTTACCATACAGTATGATAACATTCCATTTATAATTAATAAATGTCTACAAAATGCTCAGCCCACCTCATATTAAAGATAAAGGTGAGTTCTGATTTTAAAAAAAGGAAAAGAATTCTTACAGAATCAAACGAAACTTACACTGAATGTTCAAGATTACAAACAAATGTCATTTGCCAAATAATTTTGGTAGAAAATGTATACTGGCTGAGTAATGAGCATAGAAAGATTAGGAAATCAAAGTTAGTAACCCCGACACCATTTGTGTAGTCCCATATACATCTCTCTGTACAGTGCCTGTTACTTTACCACGACTGGGCCAAATTTATTATGATTTTGATGACTCCAGAACTTTGCAGTACACACCAATACATGCTACATGATCAACTTTTTCTGATCTATTTCACACCTTTTCTTTCACAATGCAATCACATGACCAGAATTTATCTTTATCTTTAACGATAAAGTAATGCATCTTTAGTTTACACATCTTCACTTGAAAAAGGGAGATAATGGCATATCTCTTTATTAGTAAAACAAAAATCTTATAATATCAATTGGCAAAAATACAACAAATCTCTCAGAATAAGTGAAGTTATATCTTTTTGTGAGGTGTCCTTTAATGTAGATATGATAAATGTATATATACGAAGCAGATCTGTACGTGTTTCGGTTACTCAAATGTAAACTGGAGATCGGTGTCCGCCATCTTGTTTTTATACCATTCATCAAAGGCTTCGTTCTGTGCCACGGTAAAGTGGGTTTTCCAGCGACCACTTATTCCTGTATTTGAACAAATGTATTTAACAACAGATATAAAAGAACATTTTGTTATCGTTTCATTTGACAATTCTATCAAGGGTTGAAGTATATGCTATATTGAAATAGATATTGTCCATTTGTTCGTATACATTTCATTCATGCACACTGCCCCAGGCCCCAGAACGGAATGATTGGGCTATAGAAAACCCTACTAGTGAACTAACAACCAACCCAAACAAACACATACAAAACACACCAAAACATACGAAATTACCACGGTTGTCTGCGATATATCTTTGAAATGATTACTGTGCGCCATGAAGCCCCAGTCCCATATAAAGCCGGACCAGCACGGACGAGCACGGACCACACCGGACCATCCCGGACCATGGTCTGGAGTGATCCGGGATGGTCCGGGATGTTTTGTTCAAAAAATCGCAACCGCCGACCGTCTCCCCGGACCCAACACGGTACCACTACGGACCGCCCCGGACCGTCCGGGCATAGCCCCGGCAGCAGTACAGATCATTCCAGACCCAGCACGGAGCCGCCACGGACCGTCCCGGACCATCCCGGTGCCAACACGGTGCCAACACGGATGACACCGGACCATCCCGGATGGGGTCCGGGATGGTCCAGGGTGATCCGTGTCGCCACCGTGCTGGGTCCGGGATCATCCGTAGGGGCGCCGGGGTGATCCGGGGTCAATAACTCACTCCCGGACTGCCACGGATCAACACGGACCGCCCCGGCGCCACTACGGATGACCCCGGACCCAGCACGGTGGCTACACGGATCACCCCGGATCAAACTATTGTCCCGGACCGTCCCGGACCACCCCGGCAGTTTTTGACCGTCAAAAACATCCGGGGTCGACTCCCGGACCGCCCAGGACCATCCAGGACCATCCAGGACCACCCCGGTGCCAACACGGTGTCAACACGGACCGAATCCCGGATCACCCCGGATGGGGTCCGGGATGGTCCGGGACGGTCCGGGACGTATATGGGACTGTTGCTTAAATCCCTTTCCAATAATTAAATCTCACACTATTAGCGCAATTGTGGGACCGCAGTATTCTACACATCATTGAACTTGGATTGGACATAGAGAAGAAGAAAATGGTTTATACTGTATATACTTTAAGTATTTTGTACACTACATTGATATTGTTTCTCTGAAGTACCTAACAGCGTCATTAGACGGACAAATGTAGTTAAAAATGAGTCATTAAGTAGACATGGTCATTTAGCAGGACATTTTCATGTCCTGTTAACGATTGAACAATATAATTACTGCCCCTACTTACGTTTGCAAGCAGAGGAAACTTATAGGCCTCCCAAGAAATGAATAGGTTTATTCATTAGTCATTAGTTTAGTTATTTATATGTTTTCGAATTTAAGGTTAGGGTTAGGGTAATAATTATACCAGTTTTCATGTCCTGTTAAGGTACCATTTGGGGTTATATATATAGATGTCCTGTTAATACCACATTTAAGGTTATATCTACGGGATGTCTAAAATAGCGTATCAGGACAATTACCCCCTGGGCAATCACCCCCCGGAAAATTACCCCCCGGAAAACTACCCCCCAAGGACAATTACCCCCTGGAAATTTACCCCCCGGAGAATTACCCCCCAAGGACAATTACCCCCCAAGGACAACTACCCCCCGGAAAATTACCCCCCGGAGAATTACCCCCCGAGGACAATTACCCCCAAGGACAATTACCCCCCGGAAAATTACCCCCCGGAGAATTACCCCCCGAGGACAACTACCCCCGAGGACAATTACCCCCGAGGACGATTACCCCCGAGGAAAACTACCCCCGAGGACAATTACCACCCGAGGACAACTACCCCCCGAGGACAATTACCCCCCCCCTCCCTCGAACACCATTACCGCGGCCCGAGGACAATCACACCCAGGGAATTTGTAACACTGTGACGTATAATGCGAGCTCCTCTTCAAATTGCTATTTAGAGAAAATGTCATGAACTTTCATTTTCTTAGTTATTTATGACGGAATAGATTTGTTTCGTACAGGGGTTGTGTATAAATTATATTTATATTCGTAGCTCACATTCAAAGCCCTCGTACCCATCTGCCAAATCTTTTTGCTTGACGTACATGTATCCTCCTAGGAGGAGATTTCACCCGCCCCTCTCGCTCTGTATCCATTCCACCTTTGTGAAGTTTGACTTAATATGCCACGTGTATTGAATCAAATTCAATTGCCAGAAGACGCATGTATCAAATCAAAGTACGGAATTTACATTTCTTAGAAATTTAACAATACATTGCGCGCAGATGAGTACGCGTTAATACAGCTAGTCTCCCCAAAAATGGCCCAACAAAGAAATTAGGATGTAAGATATCATTATTTATGCATCCTCTGTAACTTTTCTAATCAGCTGATCGTATATTTGTCTTTGTATGTATAATGGGCCCTCATCCATGATCTATTCCAAAATTAAGGTTCTCTTCATGTTTATAAATGTAATGTAATATATATATATATATATATATATTTCTGTTGTCATGGTGAACTAAAATATGTTTTCTTGTACTGTAATTTATTTTGAAATAAAAATTGCCTTCAAGTTAAATATATGGTATGTACGGTGCCATATTAAAAGAAAATAAGTATCCGCACGTGGGTACATTCATCTCAATGATTTTGTAATTCCAGAGCAGCGTTTTTTTCAACTGGGGTGCCGCAAGAGAATGTTAGTTACATGACAATTTTTTTTGGCAAACGTTGATTTTGTGAAAAACAAATATCAGAAACGGGTAGAGTATTTATTTTCATGAGAAAATAAAATGTAAACAAATAATAAAATGTCTTTCTTCCTTGCTCACTGACAATATTTTGCGAATATATATCTTTTATTTCGACATCACATTGTTACCACACTCATCACAATTATAAACATGATGAATCAAGGCAACGAGAGGCCCGAATATCCTCATATTCGTGTTTCAAGGTCATGACCGAATATTTCACTTTATATTCGTGTACATTCGGCGGTGAGGCGCCCGCATACCTTAAATCTGTGCTAGTGTGTTGATTACAACATTATGTTTTACCATTTTGAAAATGTCTTGTCCTTGTTTTTCTTGCTCGTTCACTAAATCAAGAAACAAATGTGCCCATACGTGTGTACATAGCACTTGACGAGTGCCAGAGTGATGCAAAATAAATAGTTTGTGAAGAATTTAAGATTCGTGTCGAACAAAAAGTTGAAATAACGCTGCACAAGAGAAATCCTTCGTAGAAAACAGCAACCACAGTGTTGTTGCATAGATTATAGTTAAAGAAAAATGTGTAGTAATGAGGAAGATCACGCGCAAGTATTTGAACGAATGTGGGTTCATGCACGGGATTTTATAGGCTCGTAGCCTTCACAGCATCTCTCAACGTGACAGATCGTCTTTTCCTATTGAATCCTGATTGTCCCCGGGGGGGGGGGGGTAATTGTCCTCGGGGGGTAATTTTCCGGGGGTAGTTTTCCGGGGGGTAATTATCCTTGGGGGTAATTGTCCTCGGGGGGTAATTATCCGGGGGGTAATTGTCCTTGGGGGGTAATTGTCCTCGGGGGGTAATTCTCCGGGGGGTAATTTTCCGGGGGGTAATTGTCCTTAGGGGGTTATTGTCCTCGGGGGGTAATTCTCCGGGGGGTAATTCTCCGGGGGGTAATTGTCCTTGGGGGGTAGTTTTCCGGGGGGTAACTTTCCGGGGGGTGATTGCCCAGGGGGTAATTGTCCTAGAACCCTAAAATAGAAATGTAACGGGATTTTGAATGGCAAGATCTTAAGCATTTAACCATCCTGAATGAAATTTTTGCGAGTAATTTGTAAGTAGTATCCCCTAAACTCTGAATTGTACAGATATTTAAGTCGAATTCTGACATCTTTGTAAATATGTATCCTTTTTTAAATATTACAAATCTAGCATGTAGAATGGCATAAGTGTAATTGTGCTATTGAACTCATTCTACCTCATAAATTCCTGGTATAATCACCACTGACACAGTTTTAGATTGATAAAACATTTGTGAAATGTCTTGAACATGTAATCAAAACACTTTTGAATTACAAGAAGGAAAAAATATACGTAACAAACACTAAAGATTGCTTATGATATATCCATTCTTAGAAGATCTATGAACATTGCATAACATGCCCTGAGGGTTGCTCCACATATTTTTAAACTGTATTTTTACTGTGACTTTGTCTCTATAAAAGAGGTACTACAGGGATTACATATGTAAATGTTCCTTCTTAACCCCCTTTTTATAATCAAGAATTGAAGTTACTAAATCTTTCAAACTTTCAAAACCTCATTAACAGATCCGTCTTCATAAATTTTAATATATTGATATAAGTAATTACATAATGCCTTTTTAAAAGTAATACTATTATGTTTTCTCGCATATTGTATTCATGTAATCAGCTATCCCTTCATTTACTCATCATCTGTCTGAAAAAAAATTACCATCTAATATTGACACCTTCGTGCAATTAAATACTCAGCACATTTATATTAATTTAAACAGAATTTTGTTCTTAACAGTTAAAAGTTTACATGCTATAAAAATGTATTTGTGTTTTATTCCTATTTCATATATTACTTTCTTAAGTATTTTAATAGAAGTATTTCTTTGTTTCTAATCTCGTTTTTTCATCAGGTTTCTGGTTATATTTGTTTACGGGTTCAATGTTATTATTTCCAGTCGGGGATGCAGCCTTGTAAGGTTTTTTTTTCAAACCTTTTGCTGCATCTCCAGAAATGTTTGGCTTTTACTGAAAGTCCAAATAAATAAAAATATGGATACAAAATACAAATACTTTAGAGCTTGCTAAGGATTGTTCAGACGCCCCGTATACGCGTGTTGTGCACTGATACTACCCAAAGCGCTTTCCTAGTAACACTGATTTGTGTGCGTATGTGTGCGTGCGTTATCGAATAATAAATTATGGAATGTACTAAAAACGGAGATAACCATAATTTCTACATTAGGCCTAAAACAATATTTTTACCTTTGTTAATAAAGGAGAACTCGCCAGATGCTTTCACTAGCTTGCCTTTCCCGCTGTCCGCCAATTTCTTGAATGTTTCTTTCTGTGCGTCAATGTGGCTGAATTTAACAACGCTACGTAGAACTTCCTCCGATAGAGGGCGACCAATACCACTTGCAATTTTCTGAATGTACTTTGCCGGTTCCTAAGAAGAAAACAAAAGTCCTGCATAATGAAACTTAGCTTTTAATCATTACTAAGCTAGTTCTAGTATATTCATAAGTTTGTATTGTGTTTAGGCATACGCCATGTAACACCGATCGTATGGATAAACAGCTTGGACAAAATAGTTATTGACAAAGATTGTGCTCCCTGATCCTATATGTCTCTGATCTGAAGAGGAGAACTGTGGTATAGTGGTCAATTTATTTGATATATCTTCCAATTGATATAATCAAAGCACTTAACCACTTCCTTGAAAAACGAATGTTCTCGGACAAAACTTAACTACAAGACCGAATAGACGTACTGCATTTCCTCTATATGTAATACTTAAGATGAAACTTCAATAGTTTTTACGATGGGAAATTTACATGGGAATCGAGTAGAGAGAGAGAGAGAGAGAGATGGTTAGAGACAGAATCTCATATCTCATACGACCTATAAACAAAAGTGACTTTTGTTGTGATTATAAAAACTACTGCTTTTTTCTTAAATTGTCAATAGGTCTTAAGATTTTGAATGAACCATACCTTTTTCAGATCCTCGTAGAAAACAAAGGTTACATTCTCATGGTCTCTTTGCTCCCAGAATCGGCGTACATGTTCTGGCCAAGGACCCCAGTGCATTTCTAGTAGATTAATATAAACAAGCAAACAAAACGACAAATGAACAAACGTTTTTATTCAGTTGATGCGGTTAATTCATTATCTAGTGTCATGGATTACATCGTAGAAGGACACCAATTGGTTGAGAAAGTTACATTTTTCCATTCATTGTCTACCAGTTTAGTATTAATATAAACATCACACTTGCTGATGGGCTTATATGATGTAGTTCTGGGAATCGGTAGATGGATCCTAAGGAAACAATTATAACGCGTCACGAAGTCTTAATAGTGATTTACATTTAAATAAAAATGTCACCAGTTAGCGCAAAAAATAGTGTTACGCAAAAAAGGGTTAAAAAGTCTTTTGAAATTGGTATGCAACACAATTAATATCACGGTATTAGTCTCTTTTTGTTCCACCAAACTAAAGTTTTGCGATATGCACAAATGCATTTCTCAACACGAAATATTGCACTAAATATATTTTGTTATTTTCACTCAAAATTAATTCAGCCATGCTCACTTTTAATCACTTCACTGATATCTTATTTAACATTGAATACAACACACCAATTTATAATACAAATGATAAAGGAATTTTTAATCGCGTCCCTTGCATGGGCTGTTCTTTTATTCGACCAACTCGGCCGAGGCCACGGTCATCATCAAGCATTTACGCTTACGACATGTGGTCTCCTGCTTTTTTCCTTTGTAAGAAACTTGTACTTTCACTAGAAACATATTTTGTCAAACTTACATGTTTTTATTCATTATATTTATGAGTATGATGTTAGGGGAATCCTCCACCTAACAAACTAATATTTCTTTGCCGACGCCCTTCCATTTTATGAGTTGAAATGCACATTGCACATAAGGTGTCATGTTGTTGACCATAGGACTGTTTCCTCGATAGGCCCGGTCTTTGACGCACAATGTGAAAGTGACATTGTATACTTTGAAATAGAAATTGCCTTCAAGTTTTATGTACGGTGCCGTGTCAAAAATAAAATAAATATCCGCTCTCTGGTAATTCATCTCATTTGATTTTGTAACTCCAGCACAGCATTTTTCAACCGGGGTGCGCAAGAGAATGATTTGAAAAACGTTGATTTTGTTTTAAAAAAATCAAATATCAGACACGGTTAAAATATGTAATGACATGAGAAAATAAAATTTTGAAGAAACTAAAGTGTCTTCCTTCCTCGCTCGCTGACAATATATTGTCAGCAAGGCAAATAAGGGCAACGAGAGACCCGAATATCCTCGTATTCGTGTAGCAAGGTCATGACCGAATATATCACTTTTTATATATGTACATTCGGCGGCAAGGTGCCCGCATACAGTACTTTAGATCGTTTCTAGTGTGTGGATTACAAATTATTTTTTTAGTAGGTCTTTTTACTAGTTTGGAAATGTATTCTCCTTTTTATTCTTAAATGTGCCAATACATGTGTGCATAGCACTTAACGAGTTCCAGAGTCATGCAAAATTAATAGTCTGTACAGACTTTGGGATTTGGGAGAAACTTTTTGTGACTAACAAAAAGTTAAAATAACGCTGCTCAAGAGTAATGTATTTCTATGTATTTTGAAAAGCGCTGGACAATTACCTAACCCTTACATCCTTCGTGGAAATCAGCAACCGCACTGGTGTCGCATAAATACAAGGGAAATGTGTAGTAATGAGGAAGACAACGTGCTATAGTATTTGAACGAATTTGGGTTCATGCAGAGGATCTTATGGACTCGTAGCCATCTCTCAATGTGTCAGATCGTCTTTCGCTATTGAATCCTGATTGTCATCGGGGGGAATTATCATCGGGGGGGGGGGGTAATTGTTTTCGGGGGTAATTGTCCTAGGGGGTAATTGTCCTCGGGGGGGGGGGCTAATTGTCCTAGGGGGGGGGGGGGTAATTGTCCTGGGTGGGTAGTTTTCCGGGGGTGATTTTCCGGGGGGTAATTGTCCTTGGGGGTAGTTGTCCTCGGGGGTGATTCTCCGGGGGGGGGGGGGGTAATGTTCCAGGGGGTAGTTTTCCGGGGGTAGTTTTCCGGGGGTAATTTTCCGGGGGGTGATTGCCCTAGGGGTAATTGTCCTCGAGGGTAATTGTCCTAGGGGAGTAATTGTCCTCGGTGGGTAGTTTTCCGGGGGGTAATTTTCCGGGGGGTAATTGTCCTTGGGGGGTACAGTAGTTGTCCTCGGGAGGTGATCTCGAGGGGTAATATTCCAGGGGGTAATCGTCCTTTGGGGTAGTTTTCCGGGGGGTGATTGCCCAGGGAGTAGTTGTCCTAGAACCCCTTCGTGGGTATGATAAGCGTCGGGAAAAAAACACATCGTCCAAATGATACCCTTTTGTGAATGGGATATTATGCTTTCAACACAAGCTATTAATTTAAAGCAATGTTCACTTTTCTCATTCGTATTAATTTCTTGTACGATATCATGGTGCGTCAAAAACGTTTCATTAGCTGATGTCAGGCCACGTCAGCGCCTCATGTACGAAGGACATTAAAGAGCAATTGATTACCACCAGACACCAAGTCCTTGATCGCCTTGTCCATCGTTAGAGGTAGAGCGGGGTTCTTTCCTACAAAGTTGAACCACGACACAATGATATCCTTGGGATTGCGGGCAACGTACACAACCTACAAATATGATAATTTCAGATAAAAGATGATAATCATTTAACATGAGAGGGAATGGAAATGGACAGGATAGTAGTGCATTTATAAGAATTTATTTACATAGCTCCCGGGATGCTTGGCTCTTGGGCCTAAATCTGAACCTAGCTCAAGCTTAATCTTATACAAACATTGCATTGATATATGAGAGGGTATTTTGCAGTTAAAGCTTGAATTTTCCACAAGCGACTAGTTGGCAAAAGCAACATGACTCTTTAAACTTTAAAGTGATAGTTGAGTTCTGTTGCAGAGGGCGCTACATAAAATTATTTTTGTGTGAGATAATGAAAAACTGTGGGTCAAATTTAAAAGAACATACAATTTAAATGACAAAATCATCTTTATTTGATCGAAATCGGTTCAGAGACGGTTGAAATATTCATAAATATAACCATTTTAAATATTTGTGTACCACCATAAATATTAGATAATTTGAACCGGCCGTTGAAAAAAACGAAATTATTCCAGCCAATGCCGGTGTTGGCTTTTTGTTGGCTCTTTCGTGCTGGTTTTAATACGCACAACCAGCCGGCCCATGGTTTGTTGTTATTAATTAATTAATTAATTAATTAATGGTCACCGTATTTTTTACATGTAGAGCTGAATTGGTAGGATTGTATTGGCTAAATTTCACACATTTTGGGGTCTAAAATTACCTTCATAGCAATTTTAGGTCCTATAAAAGGGCACTACCACTTATTTCCAAGCCAACTCGTGTTGCAAATACATCTGCTACTTTAATTAATAATATTTTTTCTAATGTTACTCCACATTTTGATTCTTACATTATTCTTTCAGACATATCTGACCATTACCCCATTGTGTTGTGACTCACTACACGGTTTCAAAGCCATTTAACAACAATGGTCCTTACCCAAGTAGACGTAAAATAACTGTAGAGAATTTAGCTCGCCTTGGCGCTAATCTCGAAAATACTGATTGGTATAGTGTTTATTCCGAAAATGAAATTAATAATTCTTATGAAATGTTCTCTAGTATATTAAACACTAATTAGATACTAACATGCCGAAACAAAAAGTCAAACATGGTTATAAGAAAACGCCCAAACTCCCTTGGATTTCTAAGTCTATATTGCGATCAATAAATCGGAAGAATAACCTTTATTATAAATATAAAATAAAAGGCACTGAGCAATCAAGGAGAAAATATACATCATATAAAAACATTTTGACTCGGATTATTCGATTAGAAAAGAGAAATTACTTTGTAAATCGTTTGAAACTTTTTTAAAAATGATATGCAAAACACTTGGAAGGTAATCAAACAAGCAATGAACCAAGTTAATAATAAATCTGAGGTAAATAAGATCAAATTTGATAATGAGATTGTTGAAGACCCAAAAAATAAAGTTAATATTTGTAATACTTATTGTTCTTTAATAGGTGATAATCTCGCTAAAAACATTCCGCCTTCAAACACAAATTTTGTGGAGTTTTTAGGCCCTCACAATCCAAATTCTATTTTCTTTGTTCCAACTAATAGGCAAGAAATTATGAAAATTGTTTCTATTCTGAAAGATAAGAAAAATTCAGGGTATGATGGAATCAATAATGTCATACTAAAATCCATTATTCCCTTTATTGCAAATCCATTTGTTCACATCTTTAATATATCACTTTTACATGGTAAATTTCCTAATTCTATGAAAATAGCCAAAATAATTCCGTTATTTAAAAAGGGTGATAAATTGGATGTGGGTAAGTACCGCCCGATTTCTTTATTATCTTCATTTTCTAAAGTTTTGGAAAGAATAATCTAAATCCGGATGATGTCCTTTTTGAAAAAATATGATGTATTTTCAAACTTCCAATTTGGTTTTAGAGAAAAGCACAGCACCGTTCATGCTTTGATGTCTTTTGGTGAGAAGGTTGCCCACGCAATTGATACATCGTCACACACTGTAAGTATATTCCTGGACTTCTCCAAGGCCTTCGACACGATCAATCACGAAATTTTACTTTACAAACTATCTCACTATGGTGTACGTGGAAAGGCCTTGGAGTGGTTCAGGAGTTACCTCTCTAACAGAAAGCAATATGTACACTTAAACGATCATGCATCTGAATTATGCAATATTAGTTGTGGTATCCCACAAAGTAGTCTGGTAGGCCCGCTACTCTTTATTCTTTATATAAATGACTTTTGTAAATCGTCTAACTCCCTGTCGTTTATTTTATTTGCAGATGATACTAATTTATTTTTTTCACACAAAAATCCAAACGTCCTGGTTGATAAAATCAATGCCGAGTTATTAAATATATTGCAATGGATACAAGCGAATAAATTGTCACTTAAGCTCCAGAAAACAAACTACATGCTATTTAGTAACTCTTTGGATTCATTACCCTCTGACATTATTTTTGACAATACCCCTTTGAAACATGTCCCTCTCACCAAATTCTTGGGTATAACAGTCGATGATAAACTTTCTTGGAAACCACACATTGATAATATTTGTAAAATCATTTCGCGCAATATTGGTGTTATTAATAGACTAAAATTGTACTTACCACAATCATCATTATTTATGCTGTATTCTTCATTGATCTTGCCATATTTTAATTACGGTCTTCTAGTTTGGAGCAATACACATCATACATTGTTGGAAAGAGTTCTATTGCTGCAAAAGAGAGTTATTCGTATTATCTGTAATGCCCCCATACGCTCTCATACGGATCCTCTGTTTTTTGAAAATAACATCTTAAAAATTAAGGATTATTTTGTACTTATTTCAGCTCGGTCAATTTATGTTTAATTACAATAAAGGTATACTGCCCTCTGTGTTTAATGATATGTTTCTTAAAAACCATGCTGTTCATAGATATCCCACTCGACAATCCGATGAGTTTCACTTACCTCTTTTGAGAACATGTTCTGCACAGAACACGTTCATTTTTGAAGGCCCTAAATTTTGGAATACTTTGCATAACGATTTGAAAACTTCCCCTTCACTAATTGCTTTTAAAAAAAAGTTAAAATTTTCCTTATTACAATCTTATAATATTTAGAAAATTATTGTGATAGAACATCTCCTTCCCAATTTTCTTTTCTTTCCCTCTTTTCTTCAGCCCATCCAAAACAAAAAACTACTTGCCATCACGTTCTTGCTCTTTTTGTTTCAGCTATCTCAAGGATTTTGTGCGCTCCCTATTTCGTGCTCAATCTCTACAACTTTCCTTTTCTCTCACTCTCCTTCCCTCCAAACGCACTAAGCCCGCATTTTCCCCCTTCCCCCCCTTTTTTCTTCTTCTTTTTTCTGTTCTTTCTTTGTCATGTAATTTGTTACGTCTTCTTGTTTACAGTCATTGCGTGTTTTAATAAATGTTCTCTGTTGGCCACTATTCTTCTTTCATTAACCTTGGTGTCATCTTTGAAAATGATCTTAGGATGGATGATTATATAAAAAATATTTGTCGCTCAGCTTCATATGCCTTGTACAAGATAGGTGGTATTAGAAATTTTCTTGATAAAAAATCTACCGAAACGCTTATACATGCATTTATTACATGCCGTCTTGATCAATGCAACAGCCTTCTTTATGGCCTTCCGGAGTCGCACATTGCAAAACTCCAGAGAATCCAAAACTCTGCTGCCAGGCTTGTAACACGCACACGTTCTTGTGAACACATCACCCCAGTACTTCGCGAATTGCATTGGTTGCCGGTGACGTACCGCATCATGTACAAAATCTTAGTTTTAACTTATAAATGCATTCATGAATTGGCACCAATTTATCTGCAAGAATTAATCGAGGAATACAAACCCTCACGCAATTTACGGTCATCTTCACAATTAAACCTCGTATCTACTTCTGTGTCAACTCTCTCTTATGGTAATCGCTCCTTTCGCAAAGCTTCTGCTGAACTTTAGAACAAATTACCTTTAAATGTAAAAAACTGTCAAACCGTTAACCTATTCAAAACTAGTCTCAAGACACATTTATTCAAAATTGCGTTCGATGATTAATTATCTCTGTTCACTTTGATGTGTATTCCATATGTATTGTTATTTGTAGGTTTATTTGCATTTTTAGTTTTGTATAAGATGTAATTGTATATCAGTCTATTTTGTGTGTATAGCGCTTAGAGACTTCGGTGGTAAGCGCTTTATAAGTAACGTTTTTATTATTATTATTATTATTGATTATGTATTCAACATTTTGTTCACACTTATTATCATCTGAGGGGTCCACAATTTACAAGCTTTGCTTTTCAGTGGACCTCTCCATTTTCCCAAAATATAAATGCAATTAAATTTTAAAATTCATTTTTTTGTCTTCCTAAAATGTATAAATTATTATCAAGATTTGTTCATTACCAATGTAACTATGTTTTATATACATTTTACATTGTATTCGTTATTATGTATTGTATTTTGTTGGAAATGAAAAAATAAAAATGAATGAAATGAATGAAAACTAGAAATGTCATAAATAAGAATATGAGCAATAACCATGCACTTTGAAGGCATTTGCGGTCTGAAACAAGAACTCAACTATCCCTGATCAGAGTAACAAGTCTTTGGTGCAGGCAGTCCTGTTCATCTGTTGAACAATATAAAACATGCAAAACAAAACTTTGAATTTGCCCCCCCCCTATCACTCAGAATTCCAAGGCCTGCTTAAACCACTGTGCGGACCAGATTCAGAGCAGCCGTACAAATAAAAAGAACAAGTCTCAAAACAGAACGAACCTTGGACTTCAGTAGGTCTTGAGGCAGAAGGTCAAAGTTCAGGTGACTCAAAATAACCCGGGGTGAGGGCGCTTTTTCGATGACATCCAAGAATGGGGACAAGTCTAGAGGATGTAACTTTTCCTTCTCCTTAGAAGTAGGAAAATCTTGATCCATACATATCATTTCTGCGGTGGATGAGTAGAGGGATCGATTGATTTGATCTGGATCCCCGCCGCTTAGGATAAGACCAACGATCTCCATCATCCAGTGGGTTCCTGTAATTGGGAGAAGAACATGATTGCCATATCGGTCCGACAACATTTTATTATTTTGTGTGTTTCGGCCAATAAATTGAATCGAAAGAACGATATTTAATACATTTGCATTTTGATGATAAAGCGATGATATTCATTGGTAACGTTATGAGATGTTATTAGACACCATCTGTCTTTGATATTAGGAGATAAGCCGAAGGCCCTTTTGGCAATAAATCAAATCCAGGCGGACAGATAATGTCGGCATCTAAACAATAAAAGTGGATAGCACCTCATCTCTGAGGGTCTAGAAAAGGTGGAAGTCCTTTTTACATGAGGAAAAGGATTCTTTGTCCTTTCCTGACCTACCACGTAGCCCGTATCCAGAAATGCTTCTGTTAACGTCAACCTCGAAGATGTAAAGAAACTACCACTCAGCATCAACACATCCAAAGCTATAGGCCCAGACTAGATGATGAAGATGGTGAGGACTCGAGCCACTGAAGAAACTTGAGTTAAACTTGAAGAAACCAGTTATTCAACGCAATGTGTGCAGTGTTTGATTTGATTTTGGTGTAGGAAAGTACTCTGAAGGCGCGTCAGACACTGCGCCATCCGCTGGCGCAGTCATACGTTAGTGACAATACGCCTCGTTTGCTAGAGGCTTTGTATTTGTATTCATTAACATTTATTTCCCTCTCAACAGTACAATATGAAACACGATGTATATATAAATTATATATGTGACAATGATTTGAACATAGAGTATACAGTAAATAATTCAGATAACAGAAGAAGGCGAAAACCCGAAAAGCATAGTTTGAGTTAGGAACGCCGATAATAATCTAACACACTTACTGAGAGAACATTAATAGATATTATCATGAAAATTGCATATTGTATAACAGAACGTTGATAGGAAAGAAAAAAAAGTAAATTGAAGAAAAACTGAGAAGAGAATTAAGTATGGGAAGGCATGTTCACTTATAAAGAGAAAGTTAACTCAATTGCATATTCCGAGCCCCCCCCCCTGTCTTTATTTTCAATAGTCAATTATACCTCCCAACCATCACCTGATTTAGGATATGTCACAATCCAGACGTCATCTTCTCGCACTTGAAATGTTTTCATCCGGTCGATACTGGAATCCAGGACGACGTTGGGATATTTAATACCTTTGTACTCGTGCTCAGATCTAATATCCGGACCGTTGTCGTTCCTAGCCATCTACAGAATTGATGTAATAATAATAATAATAATAATAATAATAATAATAATAATAATAATAATAATAATAATAATAATAATAATAATAATAATAATAATAATACAGTGTTTAAACCAGCAGGCGCGTACGCAGGGGGGGGGGGGGGGTTAGGGGGTTGAACCTCCCCCTTTGGTTTTTTATGTGTGTAAACCCCCCTAAAATCCCCCCCCCCCCCCTTTGGATTTTTTTTTTTTTTTTAATTAGTAAAAAAAATAAAAAAATTATGCCCATAGCTAACCTAAAAAAGGTGACCTTACTCCCCCCCCCCCCCCAACAAAGAAAAATGTCAAATTTTCAAATTTCGAGACCAAAAAAAAAAAAAAAAAAGTGTCCTCTCATGCTAAGCATTTACGTAAATCAAATTGTTATCTTATAGATGTGCTTGAATGAAAAATGATATTGTTTACTGAAGGTACATGTTTTGTTTATACGGATTATACTAATTTCAATATTGCATTACGAACCATATTCTCTATTAGCCAATAATAGGAAGTGAAACTATAATTTCTCCATTCGTCTTAGGTGAGTTATATGTCCATTTTGTTCTTCATATACATGTACCTTGCTCACATGACATTATAGGCCTCCTTTGAAGGATGCAAAACAGATAATTTTTCTTTGCACTGATCATAATTTATTCAACTATTACATTATTCCTATGAATTTTCTCAAGTCATATCATAAAACACTTATTTTTCCACATCCATTACCCACTTCCGTTATCCCACCATCAATATTCTTTGATCTAAGGTGTATCTATAATTGTTTGTTATGAATGTACTATTTTTAATGACTTTGTAATACTATTGTATTTTGTGCAGTATCCTTGTGTTATTACTTATGTAAATTGCACTCTATTCAGCCGAAAGGCTGTCATGTACAATGTTTTTTATACCACAATAAATAAATAAGTAAATAAATAAATAAATAAATAAATAAATAAATAAATAAATAAATAAACTGTACCATAATTATTTAAGTTCTCTGGCAATCAAATCATAATCGTCTGAGTGATTATAACAGCCATGTGAAGAAGTTGAGGTCAACTGGAAATTTATTGTTATCTTTTTGTCTCAGTAAAAGATTAGACATGTATTTGTAGTGGTCCATATCAGATTAGTGCCATGATTGCATTCAATTGATCTATGTAAATAATGGCATGTCTTCTATGACAAAACATCATGATAAATAAACCAAGTTCAAGGGTCCCCAGCATGCCCCGAACGAACTTTCATCAAGATGCCAGTCTTGATGGGCTATGCATAAAAAGTAGCAATTTCTTGTTCTAGCCTTTTGCTTGAATCCGTATGCATAAACATGACCAGTTGCTTGCAAGCAAAAGTTTTTACTAGGAAGCACTAGCAACTGATTGATGTGAAATGTTAATTCTCGTATTATAGAGAAAAAACAAATTTTGTACAGGAGTAGAATAAATTGAGCAGAAATCGCTCCCAAGACCTATCGGAAACCATTCCGAGTTAAAAAGATAATGTGAGTATTTAACTTATATATATTTTTACCTGAACATGATGAGAAACTTGAAGGATGTCAGGAAAGGCCTCCCCTACTCGCGTGACATTTGAATACACTTTACGAAACCCGCCTTTTTCCTCCTGGAATCGTTTTTGCACCAAACTGACGTCGCTATTGTTTTAACAGTAAGCAATTACTTGAAGGCCTACTTGAAGTGATTATTTGCAAACAATGTAATTGAATGTCTAACTAGCAAGACTACTGGTTGCATCAGGTATTCTGGACACAATGCAGTTACAAATTTCCAGAATGATGACAATTTTTCTGACGATTTTTATCGTCCATTCTTAATCCCCCTCCTATTCTGAGAATTGTTGTGAGGGATCCCTCTACCTACTCCGCCTCTCTGTCCTCCTCCCTCTCTTTATCTCTCTCTCTCTCTCTCTCTCTCTCTTTCTCTCTATCCATCTAACCTGCTCTTCATCTTTCTACCTGTCTATCCATTTACTCTCTCTCCCCCTTCTATTTCTCTCTCTACTACATTTAGCCGTAACATATTTTTGTTGTATTCATCTTTGTGCTAGTCTAGTGTATGTGTATTCTATTTTGTTCCTAGTTTAATTCAATGAAACTTCACGCAATTTCCGTATTTGAAGAGCTCCAAAAAGAACTACATCCAGAAATCCAAGTTCTGAGAAACACACAATTTTTTATATATCATAGTTGGCAATGACAGTTTGGAATGATACTTTGCCTATTACTATACTATTGTATTATGCAAGTATAAAACCACTCTTTAAACATATCTAAGTCTTCACAAATAATTTTCATGAATTCATGTCATTTTAATTTTTGTGGATGTAGTACTGTATGCTGTATGCAAGTTACAGTGCATGACTTGAATGGATATAGTATCTTTTGGAACCAAGCTCTTCATTTCATGATTTACAGCACATTCTTTCATGCTTAAAGTTACTATGATTCAGGATTATTCATTTCTATAATACTTTAAGAAAATGTTAATGTTTTGTAAAATGTTGAATCTGAATCAAAGCAACCAATCAATCAATCGTCGAAATATGAAAAATGTTAGTATAAGCACCATCTCTGGCCCTTTTAATCAACGGATATTAAGCTGTGATTAATTCGGCTTGTTTGAACTTCAAGTTAATGTATATTGTATGGGTGGTATTAAACCTTGCAAATGACTCTACTAAAACATAAAATGATTGTCAGATGAATCGAACAATATAAGCAGACTCCTACATACTTCGACTAAAATTGTTGCTTATATTAAAAAATTAAATGCCATCAATCACGCTTACCTTTTGCAGAGAAGAAAGGATCTAGAAAGTGCAGAAGTGAGCCGCGTCGGCTGGAGAATTGAAATTTCAAAATGACTATCACATAAACAGTATGCTAATCTTCAAACCAACATGTATTCGTTTGAGCTAAAGTGCTACAGTGCGGGAAGAAATTACCTCAAAAGAACAGAAGTGCGCCGCGTTCGTGTAGAAAATTGATGTTCGGTGTGAAAATAACTATTACGTATTCGGCAGGCAAATGTTCCGACCAACATCTATTATGGGCTAAAGTGCCAGCTATATTTGCTTTGGATTGTGCAAATAAAAGTATTGACCCGGGACTTTTGGAAAGTCATGCATACGACCAATCCTAGACTTTGGTAAAGGTGTTAAATAAATAAATGAAATAAAATAAATGCATTCATGAAACGGCACCAATTTATCTGCAAGAATTAATCGAGGAATACAAACCCTCCCGCAGTTTACGGTCATCTTCACAATTAAACCTCGTATCTACTTCTGTGTCAACTCTTTCTTATGGTAATCGCTCCTTTCGCAAAGCTTCTGCTGAACTTTGGAACAGATTACCTTTAAATGTAAAAAACTGTCAAACTGTTAACCTATTCAAAACTAGTCTCAAGACACATTTATTCAAAATTGCGTTTGATGATTAATTACTCTGTTCACTTTGACGTGTATTCCATATGTATTGTAATTTGTATGTCTATTTGCATTTTTAGTTTTGTATAAGATGTAATTGTATATCAGTCTATTTTGTGTGTATAGCGCTTAGAGACTTCGGTGGTAAGCGCTTTATAAGTAACGTTTTTATTATTATTATTATTTATTAAATTATCAACGGTATTCTGATTGGGATTTTTATAGAGCAACTTTGACGAGGGGAGGGGGTTAGGGCTGGATTTCAGTCACGAAAAGGCAGGTCGCGAATTTTGTACAGCTAGAATATGGTGAAATGTCCAGTTGTTCTAAAAAGTATACCTGTTTCAGACTACATGATATGGGACCACTTTCTTAATCCTAAATGGGCCGGATTGTGTATACCAAACGTGTGAGGTACCAATGAGGCGAATTGCAAATGACTGACGAATGCACTTTGAAAATACACTCCAACATTTTTATTTCAGGATATCTGTTTTTTTTTATCATGAGATTATGGTAAGGGTTTATTCAATCAGAGGGTACTTAAAATAGTGACATTATTTTACGATTGAGTATGGCACTCAATTGCGGTAAAATCCTGACCTCTGATTTAATAGCAATGTCATGTACTGTATGTCTAGTGGCGTACGCAGGATTTGCTCAAGGGGCGGGGGGGGGGGGTTAACATTTTTAAATCGCGCCATAAATTTCGCAATGCCTCAGCCAGCCGATGAAGCTGAATAAGCGGGGGGGGGGGGGGGTAAGAGCCCATTTTTGTTGTTGTTGTTGGGGCTGGTAATTTCAAAATTTGGCCTACCGATATTTTGAGGGGGGTTCAACCCATAACCGCCCCCCTCCCCGCTGCGTACGCGCCTGTGTATATCTGTATAGTCTTCATCACTAACTGCTCCACGACCCGATTTCGTATGGATGTTTCATTCTCAGGTGTGTGTGGTGATGGTGTATTTCATTCACCTGCTATTATCTTTTGTACTACAATTGTCAGAACGCAAATTTACATAAATAATTTGGTGCTCTTCTGGAATGAAGGTTTCGCATAAATGTAATAAATTTGTCAACTGCTATTTAGTGTAATTTAATAAACTAGTTACAGTTGCTCCTCTGTTATATATTTTTCACCAAATACAATTTTTACTTGGTATGATTTTCCCTAATTGAAAAGTAAAGTTTTGTTGTTGAATTAAAAAGTATTTTCAACTATATAAATCTTGGTGCATTATACATGCACAAGTTCAACTGCTACGTCACAGTAGGGCGCTTTAGTAACGAGACGGAAGGCAAAGAAGACGGGAGAATTCACTCAACCGAGATCAAATAATGTATGCAGTTCGGATTCTGTCTATTGAAATACTATTATTCTTATCAGGTGAATGAAATAATTTGTCTTGAGGCACTTCACAGAGACTTATGCATTTAATTTGGTTACATTACGATAATGGTATATTGTACGGCGATCCAACTCTTCCGTCGAGTTTAGGGAACGATCGCTATTATGGCTGAGACAGGTCGTGAAAATCAACAAGACGGAGATAATTCTGGTTCGCACTTGCGCAGATTGATTATTTTGCTCAGTTACCCTCGTCTTTGCCTTCCGTCATTTTCGTAATGTAACCAAATTTAATGTATAAGTCTTTGTGAAGTGCCTCAATACAAATTATTTCATTCACCTGCTAAGAATAGTAGTATTTTAATAGACAGAATCCGATCTGCATACATTATTTGATCTCGGTTGAGTGAATTCTCCCGTCCTCTTTGCCTTCCGTCTCGTTACTAAAGCGCCCCATTATCAAGAAAACGGCTGCGCCCATGTCATGCAAAAAGACATTACATCATGCTAAATATTTCTTTATTTATGTATTTCTTGTACACTTTCGTAAAGAATATTGCACATCAAAAGGCAGGAATACATCTCATCTTTCTGCATATACCTGCATTTATTTTTTTGAAGTTTCCTTCGATGAAATGTATGATGCAGTACTTGGTCTGTTAAGATTTTTATTTATTTTGATAATTGATTTATTTCGCCATTTTGGCAGACATACCTTTGTATCAATCTAAAAATTGGAAACAAATATCTTTTAGCTCGGCAAGAAAACGCTATTCTGAATTCTTACTGCACCGTATTAAACCTTCCAAATATAAACTGTTATCTCCACTACAAAATATTTGTCGTACAGTCAAATATGATTTTAATTGCGTATCATTCTAAAACTACTTTAACAATATGTACATGTATACTTATAATATAATAGCCTGTCTCTATACACTATGCTAATAGAAATCCTTACAGTTTAGATAGGTAGATAGTTTATTGGTTTCCACAATATCTCATTTTACAAAGAGTGTAACAACTTATTGAAAATCATTATAATGTACATGTACATACAATACTACGGAGCCCCGGAAGTGACATGGAGAAATTTTTTTTTTCTCGTTTTCCTGAGATAAATTCTCGTTTTCCTGAGATAATTTTTCGTTTTCCTGAGATAAATTCTCGTTTTCCTGAGATAATTTTTCGTTTTCCTGAGATAATTCCCGTTTTCCTGAGATAAATTCTCGTTTTCCTGAGATAAATTCTCGTTTTCCTGAGATAATTTTTCGTTTTCCTGAGATAATTCCCGTTTTCTTGAGATAAATTCTCGTATTCCTGAGATAAATTCTCGTTTTCCTGAGATAATTTTTCGTTTTCCTGAGATAAATTCTCGTTTTCCTGAGAAAATATTTCGTTTTCCTGAGATAATTCCCGTTTTCCTGAGATAAATTCTCGTTTTCCTGAGATAATATTTCGTTTTCCTGAGATAAATTCTCGTTTTCCTGAGATAATATTTCGTTTTCCTGAGATAAATTCTCGTATTCCTGAGATAAATTCTCGTTTTCCTGAGATAATTTTTCGTTTTCCTGAGATAAATTCTCGTTTTCCTGAGAAAATATTTCGTTTTCCTGAGATAATTCCCGTTTTCCTGAGATAAATTCTCGTTTTCCTGAGATAATATTTCGTTTTCCTGAGATAAATTCTCGTTTTCCTGAGATAATATTTCGTTTTCCTGAGATAAATTCTCGTTTTCCTGAGATAATATTTCGTTTTCCTGAGATAAATTCTCGTTTTCCTGAGATAATATTTCGTTTTCCTGAGATAATTCCCGACCAATACATGTTGCATAACTTTCGAAACCCCAGACATCGTTTGTTATATGATCACAGATTTCCCGATTTTAATTTGTTTAAAACTTGAACATTTCATAGCTTTCTTATTTCATATCCGATTTTCCTCAAACTTTTATTAATCACTTTGTCTTATTTGTCTCCTTTTATTAAAATATAGATATTCTTAGGGTGGCCTTCCCCTTTAAGGCCCTTTTGGAATTGATAATTATCTTCATAAATATATCGAATTTCGACAATTGAATGTTGAGACCTACAAGGTGATGTGAATAACTGAATACCAGGCGCGGATCCAGGGGGGGGGCCGAGCGGGCCTTGGCCCCCCCCCCCCGCAAAAAAAAAAAAAAGAGAGAGAAGAAAGGAAAAGAAGGGAAAGAGAAAGAAGAGAAAAAGGGAAAGAAAGAAGAGGAAGAAGAAAAGAAAAGGGGGAAGAAGGAGATTGGGGAAGGCGAAAGGGCCTTGCCTCCCAGGCTGTTGACCCCCCCCCCAATCAAAAAAATAAGAGAGAAGGAAGGAAAGGAAAGAAAAAAGGAAAAGAGGAGATACTGGCGTACTGATAGGGGGGGGGGCTTGGGGGAAATCAAATTCAAACGTGGTTTATTTCTAATTCCACAACGGTGGATTACAAATAATGCTGAAATGACATAATTTCCGAGATTTTTCCTCACTTTTTAGTTGATTCCTACTTGTCAGGGCCCGAGGTACGGCGGGGATCGGGAGCCCCGAGCCCCCCCCTACTTTTTTGAAAAAGTATATTAAAGAGAAATAAAATAGAATGAGAGCAAGAAAGAAAGAATAGTAACTGCCAGTGTTGAAAAATAATGAGGCATCAAAATATGCTCATCTGACCGTGATTAATGCCTAAAACCCCTAAGCTTCCAGGGGCTCTGCCCCCTGGATTTCACCTAGGGCCCTACGGCGGGCCCTTAGATGCTCATCTGACGGTAATTTAATGCCTAAAACCCCTGATATTTAGGGGCTCCGCCCCCCTGGACCCCACGCCAAATAGTGACGTGCCAGTCTCACAAAATAATAAGGTATACAAAAAAATGCTCATCTGACCTTAATTAAACGCCTAAAACCCCTGAGCTTCCGGGGCCGGCTCCGCCGCCTCGACCCCCCCCCCAGGGGCCCTAAGACGGCCCCTGATTCAGACAAGGATTAAGAGTATAGAGAACGATACAACGCATCGTCTTCTTTCTCTAATAATATAATGAAACGTCAAAGCTTCGCGCAGGAGGGGAGGGGGGGGGGGACTGAATTCAGACAAGGATTAAGAATCGAGAACGGTACAACGAATCGTCTTCTTTCTCTCATAATCTTATGAAACGTCAAAGCTTCCGCGCTTCGCGCGGGAGG